AAAATATATCCTCGTTTTAATTTAGGTTAGAAATTAGAAACATGGTTGTAACGTGTTTACGAGCAACCTACCATGGTCTAGTGGTTAGGGGGCGTTTGGCTCGCAATCTGACAGCTCTCAAGTAAAGAAATAAACTTGTTCACAAGGAAGAACTAATGAGCACAGTGACGAGTGCACGTGCTGTTTATTTCCAGTTTTCTTTGTGTCACCTTATCTGGTTTCAGTGATTGAGTAATACAAAACACTGTTGACTGGGGAACATTCGAGTTAAAACCTCAACGTTCTTCGGTTAAAGGAAAACTGTAAGGTAATTCAGACCTGGAAGGAAAAACAACAAAAAATAGTTTAGAGTGGATTTTGTTTGTAGTTAAGCACAAAGCTACACAATGGGCTATCTGTGCTCTGCCCACCACGAGTATCGAAACACGTTTTATAGCAGTGTAAGTCCACTGGGGGCGCCTTTTAAAGTTTAAATGCAGCACCTTTCTCGATAGTACCCCCCCCCCCCCATGGGTCAGCGGTGCATCTGAAAGCTTATAACGCTAGAAATCGGTGTTAGATACTCGTGGTGGGTACAGCACAGATAGCCCACTATGTAGCTTTTTACTTGATAACAAACAAACAAATTTATGAATTCCATTTACAGGAAACACGTCATCAGAATGCTGTACTCCCCCACACACTCCCATAACTCACTGCGTTTTTTTTTGTGAGCGTTTTGTCTTTATTTAAAAAGCACAAACAAACAAACAAAAAAAAACATTATAACGAAATGAAAAAGTATCAAAGCGTTTTGAATTACCGGACATGGCTGGAGAACGTGGTTGTACATAAAAATGGCGTATTAGGAACAAAACTTTTATTTTATATATTTGAGAATAAACCGAGTAAGATATGTTTTAAGTTGGACGTTTTCTTCTGTCCCTAATAACTAACGATTCATATAACACATATTATAATAAGACTTGTTTAAAGCTTGGGGAATTATTGCAACTACTGTCCATAAAAAGATAGTATTCCGAGCTCCTTTTTAATTTTTTGAAAACATTTTACATTTATCTATGAAAAACATTGATTTATTCGTGTGTTCTGTTGTTGTTGTCTCCTCCGCAGAGACTAATTTGCTAAAATATGATGTAATATAACTCGGATAAAGAGTTATAACCACAAACTAGAGTTTCTGAACAAATCGTTATATATATATATATATATATGTTTACAAAGTAATGTACGTGGACTAATTAGGGTTGTATACAGTGCAAGTAAGTGTGTATATTGCTTACTAGGCCTAACAGCCATATTGCGTGCTGTAGGATCTAGGTTTCAACGTTAGTACGTTACTGAAAAGGTTTCGATTAATATCTCAACCCTCATTGAGGTAGAAGTGTCATTGGCTCGAGGAGTAGCTGCAGTCTGTTACTAAGCCTAACAAACAAACATGTAGACTTCATTAATACTATGAATTTTTAGGTTATAATATAGTGGGTGGGTGTCATGGGAGGAGTACTTTTCTTCTAATAGGTAGTAATTCCTATGCGAAATCTATCTATCTATCTAGCTCTAAACGTCCGTTCTTCTATCAGTCTGTACATTTTACCTCTGTCTTGTAGCCAATCAGTGAGGTATTTTACCACAGACACACACACAGAAAGGGGAGACAAAGAAAGAAAACTAGTACGCCAGCTCTGAAAATTTATGGTGTCAAAAACACGTGATTCCAGGCGTTACTGAAACGCAATTTTAAGCGACTCGACGACAACACCACCTAGAATTAGGGACCCATTTTTTTTTTCCTGGAGTGAATTAAATATAATTTCAACTGAAACAAATACAAAAATAGAAAAACGTGAATTTCCAAAAGAAAGTAAAGACCGCTAAAATATTTGGTATCTAATCCAACTTCCAACTCCGCAGAAGACTCATGTGACAGGATTTTCAAGCAGGGATATAGCAGGGGCGGATCCATGATTTTCTATAATAAAAAAGAAGAAAAAGAAAAGGGAAATCGGACCCCCTGGATCCTCACCGATATAACCATACGTATAACGTTTCGTGATTGCGATGTTATCATCGACCAACCTGAGCTGCTGATAAGTTATGATATCCGCCCCCTCCTAGTGGGTCAGCGGTAACTTTACGGACTTACAACGCTAAAAACCCGGGGTAAGATTCTCCGTGGAGGACACAGCTATGTGTTGTTTTGCTCTACAACAACTCTACTTTTTCTTGAGGATGTATTTTTTCTAACTTTCACACTGAATGTTATATCGTTTATGACACCATTCCTTTTGGCCCTCACCGAATGGGATCAAAGGATGTCTATAGGCCCCCGTCAGTGATAAAAACTGAAGAATGTTCAGGACAAACTTAAATTTAAAGATGTCTGGAATCCCTCAGTGAACCGGATTAAGGATGTCTGGGATCCCCAGCGAGCTAAATTTGGTGATGTCAGGGATTCCTCGCATGAAACCAGTTTCAGGTATCCCCCTTCCAGCTAACCGGATTTTCAAATGTCAGGGATCCCCCCCCCATTGAACCAGATTTAAAGATTTCCGGGATTACCAGCTAACCGGATTTTCAAATGTCAGGGATCCCCCCCCAAATGAACCAGATTTAAAGATGTCCGGGATTACCCACCGAACCGGATTAATAAATAACTAAGAGTAAAGCATTTTATTCGTCTTAATTTTTGAACTCTAATTTTGCATCCAAGACACGAAACCCTTTACATGAACTTTGTGTCCAAGACACGAAACCCTTTACATGAACTTTGTGTCCAAGACACGAAACCCTTTACATGAACTTTGTGTCCAAGACACGAAACCCTTTACATGAACTTTGTTTCCAAGACACGAAACCCTTTACATGAACTTTGTGTCCAAGACGCGAAACCCTTTACATGAACTTTGTGTCCAAGACACGAAACCCTTTACATAAACTTTGTGGCCTAGAGTTTCGTGTTTTGGGAGCACAGTTTTTTCTGGTTTGATTTTGTAAGAGAACTAACTGTTTTTGTAACCCGAACTTGTAGGTTCAAGTCAATACAAGGCGGCGTATGCTTGCGAGGGTCGAGATCTGAACATTACCTGTAGACCAGGGTATCGTATCCACCTGATCCGGGCTAACTATGGACGGTTTAGCATCGCTCTCTGTAACGAGAATGGGGCTCTTGACTGGAGTGTGGATTGTATGTCTAAAAACTCCTTCCGAGTGATGCAAGATAGGTAAGTAATCTGTTTGGTGTCGTTAATGCTCCTTCCGAGTGAAGCAAGATAGGTAAGTAGTCTGTTTGGTGTCGTTAATACTCCTTCCGAGTGATGCAAGATAGGTAAGTCAGTCTGTTTGGTGTCGTTGATACTCCTTCGAGTGATGCAAGATAGGTAAGTAGTCTCTTTGGTGTCGTTGATACTCCTTACGAGTGATACAAGATAGGTAAGCAGTCTGTTTGGTGTCGTTGATACTCCTTCCGAGTGATGCAAGATAAGCAAGCAGTCTGTTTGGTGTCGCTGATACTCCTTCCGAGTGATGCAAGATAGGTAAGCAGTCTGTTTGGTGTCATTAATACTCCTTCCGAGTGATGCAAGATAGGTAAGCAGTCCCTTTGGTGTCGTTGATACTCCTTACGAGTGATGCAAGATAGGTAAGCAGTCTTTTTGATGTCGTTTATGCTCCTTCCGAGTGATGCAAGATAGGTAAGCAGTCGCTTTGGTGTCGTTAATACTCCTTCCGAGTGATGCAAGATAGGTAAGCAGTCGCTTTGGTGTCGTTAATACTCCTTCCGAGTGATGCAAGATAGGTAAGTAGTCTCTTTGGTGTCGTTAATAGTTAAAGATCATTATATCTGAACGTAATATTATTTTCGGTCGCTAATTTATCAGTGATAGACTGGAGGGAAGGCAATTACTGACCCCCCCCCTTCCCAACTGTTCTTGGGCTACTCTTTTATCAACGAACAGTTGGATTGACCGCACTTATAACGTCCCCACGGCTAAAAGAGCGAGAATGTTCGGTGATGGGGATTCGAACCCACGACCCGCAGATTACGAGTCGAACGCCCACAAACCACCACAGGCTTTATACAGATACACTGATGCACGCATTGTGTTATTCTGGCGTTATCTGTACACGTTGACTGATCCCATACGGATTATGTTACGAATAATTAACATAGTGTAGATAGCCTTCGAGTAGACTCGCGCGAAATTCAAAACAAAACAAATCTGGCAAGTCCGAAGACATATAATGCTAAAAAACCGGGTTTCGACTCTCGTGGCGGGCATAGGACAGTCAATTATGTAAATTGTGCTTAACAAACAAACGAACAAACAAAATTTCACGAAATGGGACAAGAAAAGTGCTTGTATCCATTTGGCTTCATCAGTAGTGAGACCTGACACCAAACTGATGGTGGGGGTGTGTGTGTGTGTGACGAGACATTTAGATAAGCAAAGGCATGTCGCAATTAAGTACTATTTTTTATCTTTTAAAAAATAGTAAGGTTTCATATATTTTTAGATTTCATACAAGTATCAAACTTGAATATCATATGATGCCAAACGAACGTTAGAAAACTAACCCTTTAATTAATTTGTCAATGAGAAAGTTTTTTCTACAAAAAAGATCATTACGTTTTTGCGTAGCGTGTGTTTGTGTTAGTAGCTTATGATAATATAATTTTAACAAATAATATGTTCGTACTGCGCTGTATACACACACAAAATTAGTTAGAATAAAGTAAAGACAGATGTCTGTTCAATATAGGTACGAAAAAAATGAGGCAAAAAAATATTTTTTCTTGTTGTTGAAACCTGGTAAAAGAGACTGTGGTAGCCCTATTCGTGCTTTGTCTCTTTTATCTCACCCCCACCCCCTTCTCTTCCCTTCTGGCTTCTCTGTCTAAATTCACGTCCCCACAGTTACGTGTTTTACAACTTTGTCTGTCTAGACCAGAAAATTCGATCATTTGTAGTGTTTCACTTTTTTTTTTACCTCCTCTAGTTTTTTCAGTTTTTTTTATAGTGTCAGTTTTTGTTAGATTTATTTTTGAAACCTGCTGTAAGCTTTCTTTTTTAGTTTTTATGAAACTTACTTTGTTTAATGTATTTGGCTTTGGTCTATCATGGAATTTTATTAGTTGGTTACCTGTATTTCGACGTAGCGAAATAAAAATCAGTTCTACATAAATCTACTTATTCATCTAAATATTATTACTAATGAAAATCACACTTTACGAAAAACAAAGTAAATTTGGATAGTAATATATTCTGATCAATTTGTCCAATCCCGTCTAACGTTTATTTATTTAAGTAATTATTACTTTAAGTTATATTTTGCCCCTTAAAAGGTCTATGATATTAACATAAAAATAACAAAGTAGAAAAGTGAACTATTAATTGTTTCTGTGTTTCACGTAACATAAGATTAATTAATTAAAAGCCCTGGAAGAGTTAATTACTCTTTGTGCTTATTTAAATAGCCGTGTGGACGATTAAAATATATTAACGTGTTTAGTTAGGGCTATGTATAAACGACATTAAGTTGTGATCTGTGTTTTTACTATGGAAGATAATGGCATACACTTTGTGTTTTATTAATTCAGACACTTTGAAGAGCATAAAAAAACAAACTATAACACCTTCAGCTTTTAGTTATTTCGTTTATGTGCACGCGAAAGGTAACAACACCGGCCTTTGGTCATTTCAGATGTGCTGGCACGTCCAGCTGCACCGTAGAAGTATCCAGCAAGACATTTGGGGATGACCCTTGTCCAGAGACTTTCAAATATTTAGAAGTTCATTACATATGTGGTTTAGGTTGGTTTTATTTGTTTTGATCGAATTTGTTGATTTTTGTTTTCTTTCGACAGAAATGAGCTGAAAAGAACCAAGTTCACTGAAATAGATAAAAAATAATCTGTAACACGTTCTTTCAATTTCATTGTCAATTTTGGCAGAACTTGTGCATAATGATAAAACAAACAGTATATATATCGAGTTAGACCGAACGGTGTTCGAATCCCTAACCATGTCAACCGAACTGGTGCTGATATTAATTTTACATCTTACTTTTTTTGTTTTTTCAAGAAAATAGTTCCTACTGAGATTAATTTTTAAAATAATTAAAATTCTAACATAAAAAACAGCGCACACTCACATCCTCTACAACTTCAATGAACGGTTCATTTCAGCTTATTTTGTTCGATTGCAATGGTAACTAACTGTACCTGTAATGTAGAACAAACTAATTTTTATCCCTTTATAAGCTGTGGTATGAAGAACAGTTGTGGACTACCAGCGTCGAGCTTGGTGTTCGGGGACCCATGTCCTGGAACACTGAAATACTTGGAGGCCCATTATCGCTGTGTGCCAGGTACTACAATCTACACGATATCTTCGAGTTTACAGTGCATGCTTTTGAGCCTGGTCAGCTTGTACGGGCTCTTTGGTTTAATGATATAAAGTACCACTAGAGAGCACCACCATCCAGAAAAGCATGTCGAGTAGATGATAAATGTTTACGTTATTTGTGTTATTATGCCTACTTTCATGTGTCGTTGTTATTTTTGCATTTTTTTGTTAAAGTTCTTTTTTAATATCTAGTCTATAACTGTTGCTAAAACTGTTTGTATATTCTACTTATACGAAATGTATTTAAATAAGGAAAGCCTGTTCAAAGTTGATAGCATGCAATTTTACGAACTTTAAATATTTATTTTTTGTTTTTCGTAAACAACCATCAGTAATTCACAAGTATAAAATTTGCCTATTTTTTACTTACGGCAATTATGGAGATTTTCGCAAATATTCAGTATTTTGACCCGTAGTTGATACATTCGTATTTAATGATTTTTATATATTGTTTGTCCGTTAACATATCTTAAACAAGAAAGAAAGGAAGGATAAATCTGTAATTACGCTTATTACTAGTTAACAATTAATTTAGTAAGTGCCGTCATAATGTAATGAATTTATAACAAAATTTGAAATAAATCGGGATTTTATCAAAATTATAGTAATATAGGATTTTTAAAGATTTTCTTTTAATTTTTCGTATTTATCTTAGGGTTAAATAATTTACTGATTTGTAATAATAATGATAATGTTTTAAAATCTCATACGCACTCTATAAGCTACTAAAGTTTAAAAAACAGAATGAGGAATAGGTGGCTGTTTAATTTTTGATAGTTTTTGAGTATTATAATTTATGCCTTACTCTTTTTCAAGGCAGACGACATAATTTTATTTTATAGGTTAGGCCTACTGTTTGGTTTTTCACACACCACGCTGTAATTCTGTATACATTTCTTTTGTGTGTGAGGTTAAATATATGATGTATTAGTAGATATATAGTTGATGATCTATAACTAAATAGGCCTATAATGCTATATTCTAAATTTCGTTTACTTCGCTTTCGAAAAAATAATAAAACAATGCACATGTCTTTTAAATGTTTCGATGTAAATTTTTATTAGTTATTTGATTCAGCTAGACCAATAGTTCCTAGAAATGAAGGCTTAGTTGCTTTAAGTGTATTATGCGCTATTCTTGTTAGTTCTGGAATTTCAACAGCTGTTCTGTTTTTCAGATATTACTTCAACTACAACATCTAGGCGTCCATTTCCACCAATCGTTTTTCCAATTACAAGACCACCAAATATTAAATCAACCACAGAATTCCGCGTCATATTCATGAAACCTTCCTCTACAATAGCACAATCTTCATCGCCCACGACGACAACGACAACAACAACGACGACGACGACAACAGTTTCGTCAGAGTTAGAACCAGAACCTAAAAGAACGAACCCGCTAGACATTGTTTCATTAGGTACATGTATATCTAATGACAAATTGGTGAAATACATTAGAGCTTAAGTACTACTAGTAATTACTGTTATATACAAAATAACATTGTAAAATACACGTATAAATAAAAGGATTAACGTTACTCTCCCGACTCATCCCCGATGATTCAGCGGTAAGCTTTTGGGCTTATAATGTACAAATTCTTGGTTTGATCCCCACTATTGACAGAGTACAAATAGCTTATTATTTAGCTTTGTTGTCAATAACAAATAAACATATTCTCCGGTGATATAAAAGTTAGTCATTCATGCTCTGTTTCGTGATTAAATCAAGAATTACTAACCAGAAGCCATACCAGTTTAGAATTCCAATTGTTGTTTGCCTTTGACTGAAGCTATTGAAATAAAATTTCAACTTTATATTTTATGTGTTTAATTGTTAAAATATCACGAGATATTTAAAATATTTTGATCGTCTTCTTTATAATTTGCAGATGTTTCACCAAAAGAACTTGTCACTGTAACCCCCTCCAAAAATTTGACAACTAAATACTGTCCTCCAGTGACCTCTCGTGGCCTCTTTTGGAACTGGACTCGAGTAGGTGATATAGTGCAGCAGAAATGCCCAGATGGAGCTCATGGTAAGTTAACGAAGTTAATTGTCGAATAAATTAAAAGACATGCTTATTTTATCTTTAATTCCATTGTTGTTTGATAATTCACTTTTAAATTACCACAGGGTGATATAACTTTTAAAATTTCGCATTGCAATAAAATCGTGTTTACTAATTATGAGCTTTGAATTAAGAATAGCGTAAAAAGTTAATGTTAAACACATATACTTGCATCAGTTTTTATTTCTTTTCTTTTTATCAAAACTAATTTATTAGTTAGTCAAATTAATATTTCGATTAACCATTTTATTTGGTCAAAAGAAAAACAACTTGAGTTCCACTCTAGAAAACAGAAAAGTATAGATATTCAATCGATTTAAAAAAATGCTAATTACTAATTGAGTGATTAATTTATTTGTTAACTTCTTTTTTCACCAAAACGTGAATTTCAATGAAGAAAATATTTAATTCGCTACTCCCGCAGCATCGCACCGAATGATAACTGAAAAATAATTGTGACGGTACGTCGCATGTGGTTCAAACACCTAAAGTATTTTAGGTTATTAGAGGTAAGTAAAGAGACTATACATCCAAACCAAACGGAGTGATTCATAAAGTTTCACCCCATCTTTTTGTTTTTCCACCTTAGGTATGGCTAGATGGAGTTGCAGTATCTCCACCAGTGATTGGTATCCTAGTGTCCCAAATTTTGGGAATTGTAGTTCTCTGTGGTATGGTAATTTCATCGATAGAATGCATGGTGTAAGTAGACATGTTAATAGAGTATTTATTAACAATCCTTGTAAGACGAATAATTTTTTTAAACCTCACCATTGTAATCTATTAAATATGATTTATTGTACTATATATATTTAATATATAATTTAAATTGGTCTATTTTCTTTGAAACTGTCATTAAATACACAATTATTTTTCTAATACACAATTTCTGCTCTGAACATTATTGGAAATGTGGCTAAAAAAACTGTAAATGTTAGGCCTGTCTAGCATAGCCAGGTGGTTAGGGCGCTCCACTCGCAATCTGAGGGTCTTGGGTTCGAATCCTTGCCCCACCAAACATGCTCGCCCTTTCAGCCATAGGGACGTTATAACGTGACGGTCAATCCCACTATTCGTTGATAAAAGAGTAGCCCAAGAGGAGGCGGTGAGTGGTGATGACTAGCTGCCTTCCCTCTTGATTTACACTGCTAAATTAGGGACGGCTAGAGCAGATAACCCCGTGTAGCTTTGCGCGAAATTTAAAACAAACCCAAATGTTAGACCTTTCAGAAAGTAACCTTTTATTTTTATTATATTTATCTAAAATTGTGTTTACAAATAAAACTACAATACAACTTAAAACACTTAATTCTGTGTTCCAGGTTAGTAACAATGAATCTGTGGTGAACGTGGCAGAAGATTTGGCTAGAAGGACCACAAAGAGACGTCTCTATGCGAAAGACATTATAGAAGCCTCTTTTGTGTTGAAAGGGCTCGTCTCAGCTACAAAAAAGCAGCCATATTACTATAGTTATAACCAGCAGAGGGAGCTGATGCAGGTTAGAAGAAAAGTTGGAAAAATAAATTTATATAATACATGTAAATAGTATTTAGTTTTAAGAAATTAAAGAGTTCAGTATTTGATAAATGTTGCCTAGAAGTTTTTAGGATTCCACACTAAGTATAATGAGATCTTCGTCAGTTTATAAGTTATGTTAATAAACGTGTAATTTTTATTCATAGTGTAGGTTATTTAAGTAATATAATAAGTTATATAAATTTTGGAATTTCAGGTAAAAGTATGTTATTATCTCTTATACTGCTATAGGAACACATATGACTTATTCCAGAGCACAGTTATCTTATTTTGAATTTTTTTACCAACATGAAGAAAGGGCATTTCTCTTCAAACTTCCCATGCAGAGTGTCAAGTTGCAGATAACTAATAAAGTGTGTATTTAAAAGTAAACCTGGTATCGAGAGAATTATACAGTGAAGGAATTAAAATGTTCCTGATATATTTTGAAGTTGATTTATCTAACTTCTCACTTATTATTACTCAGGTGTTTGTGGTTTATTATTGTTACGTAACTGCTTGTTTGTTTGTTTCTGGTAAAAATTCTTTCTGAGGATCTTCAGCGATACAAGACCTTTCTTGATTAAACCAGTTTGTTCTTCCTCGATACAAACTTTTAGTACACAGTAGTTCCACAATCAGTACGTTTTTCCTCACTTTAAACTTGACAACTTTTATAATTCACGCTATAAATCACAGCGATTCACAATCTCGATAATTTCGTTCTCGACGAGTGCAAAACACACACTTTACGGCTCACTAGCTCGAAACTAATAGAATCATAAATTACACGGAAATCAAAGTAACTACTGCTCTCTCTGCATTCATTTACCCCCGCTGGTTTTCACTGCCAGGCTTATATACTAACGAAGAGGGCGTCTCGAACACACTCGGACTCATTAGCGTACGTGATTTCCGCTGTCGTAACATTATTATTTTTATGAATTATACATTTAAGTTTATAAACTGTTGTTATTTCAATATCTTCGAATTGTTTTATATATGGTAGGTTAATTATATGTAATTATCTTAGGCCTTAATGAAAGCGGTTAGCAACTTGCTAGATAGGAAGCAGACTGAGTCTTATCAGGATATGACACCCAGTGAACGGAGGTTTTCGGCATCCATAATATTAGAGAACCTAGAAGAAAACGCACTGTCTCTTGCAGAGACACAGAGAGCTGGAGACGTCTTTACACACGCAGAACAAAATGTTTGTAAGTTCAATAAAAAATTAAGGTTTTTTTTCAGTTTTGTAATTTTTATCACCTTTCAAGTAAATGATTAGGTATGCGTTTGTATGGCTTTACTAATCAAGACTAAAATTATCCCTTATATTTAAAGAATATTTATTAATGAAAGTAATATATATATATATATATTGTAAGTAGCGGTATTAAGTTCACTCTAGGTTGTTAGATATAGTTAATTGTTCTTACAAGATAGTCCAAGCTAGATTAAAGCTAAGTTGTTAAATATGATTAATTATTCTTACAAAATTGTCAAAATGGGATTAAAGTTTGCATATGTTACAATATGAAACCACTAAGAATTCATGTAGAATACAATATAAAAAGAAAAGAAACTGCTCACTGTAGATTTAACAACAACAACAAACAAAAAACTTTCATGGCAATAAAAAAAATTACTTACCCCAATGATTGTGCTGAATGTGTGTGGGGTTGATCCAATGGACTGACCCTGTATTGGAGATGGAGTGTTGACTACAATTCCAAATTTACTTTGTGTATCTACATGAAATATGGTAAACTTTTTGTAAAATGTATGTCTGTTGCACACAGAAAATCAGATGTGTTACAAAAGTATTTGATATGTCTTTGAATTGGTGACATCAGTCTGACTCAGACTCTGACAAGTTGGACTGCCAGATGTTGAGCATGTGAAGAATAAGAATACTTTTGTTCATTACAAAGTATCACAATATATTGTATCTGGTATTTACTCTCCTCAACTATGAACTGTTGGTAAATCAGCAATTTAGGGTTCATTGAATAGTTAACTCCAACATCAAATACGTAATGCCATGTTGAATGACATTCTGTAAGAGGTCATGGAATGTGGACTTTGACCCTACCCATGCGCCTAGGGTTAAAATGTTTCAAATGCTCAGCAGCACTGCTCATTTTAAACATAAATAAACTCATTAGTAGTAAGAGCTTTAATATTTTTTTTGCTAATAAATTATAAGATGTTTAAAAGAATTAATTTGTTTATCATTATATTTTATTGTAATTTTGTTTTATCTAATGTAAGGTGTTGTAGTTAAATGTATGATTTGAATGATTAAAAAGGTTTGTTGTACAAGTCTCTAGTTAGGCTGCATTTGGAGTATTTCACTCAGTTTTGGTGGCCTTATCTTAGGAAGAACATTGTGTTGTGAAAGAGGGTTCAGAGGAGTACTACTAGGGTGATTCTGGGAATTGATGGGTTATCATATGGCTGCTTGTTACTAGGGGAGTACCTCAGGAGTCAATGCTTGGACATTTGCTCATTTTTGTATTGACATTAATGGTATTGATAGGGCAGTAATCAGTAAAGTTTGCTGATGACTTTAAACTCTTGGGTATTTCTAGCTGTATTAGGATGCTGAGGGGTTACAGATTGACTTCAATCACTTGGCAAGCTGGACCAATATTTAACAAATGACTTTTAATTATAGGAAGTGCAAGGTAATGGATTTGGGTTATCACTGTTTAGATCACAAGTTTAATGTAGATGGAGACTGAACTAAATAACATGGCCAAAGTAAAAGATCTTGGTGGATATGGGTTATCACTGCTTAGATCACAAGTTTAATGTAGATGGAGACTGAACTAAATAACATGGCCAAAGTAAAAGATCTTGGTGGATATGGGTTATCACAGTTTAGATCACAAGTTTAATGTAGATGGAGACCAACTAAATAACATGGCCAAAGTAAAAGATCTTGGTGGATAAGCCAGTGAGGTAGTGCTTTGTTGCTAATAGTTACTATAATTTTATAGACACTGTTTGCAAGCCAAAAGAGTCAATTCTCTTTCTTTGTGAACCACTAGTTAGGACTCACTTGGAATACTGTGTACAGTTTTGATCTTTGTGCCTAAGAAAAGGTGTCGACTTATTGGAAGGAGTTCAAAGGAGGGCTATTAGGATGATTTATGAGGTAGAAGGGTAATTTTACAGGATAGGCTAAAATCTCATAACACTTGTCTCTGTGAAAAGAAGAGTAAGGTGTGATCTTGTTGAAGTTTACATGAAAGCCTTTGATTTCTTTGGTGCTATGTTCCAAAAATAAAAGGACATAAGCTTAAAATTTGGAAAAGCCAAGCTAGACTTGAGTTCAAACAGTTTTATTTTTTGAAGGGAGTGTTAGCTTTTGGAATGAGTCATCATTTGCAATAGCAAAGACCAAAAGTGAAATAAATGACTCCTGAATAGTAAAGGATGGGTTTAATTTTTTCTTTTGTCAAAGATAAGTGTTCAAGGACAGCTTGGAAGGGCCAATTCGTTAACTTATTGTCTCATGAAAGGAGAAGGGTTAAGGAAGGTTTGGAGTCAGGACATCCATGATGGAACAGAAGGTCCATTGATGTCCCATAGTTTACTTATAAATTCCATAAACACTTCATGGTTTTGTTCATTCTTTCTGTTTATATTTCAGTTCTTTTGTTTCTTTTTCTGCTGTTTTCATGCTCCTGTAATAATTAGAATTTCCCCAAGGCCAAGCAAAGGTATAATGTATTGTCAGTGAAATCGTGACCTAGACCAGGTATAATGTATTGTCAGTAAAATTGATGACCTAGACCAGGTATAATGTATCGTCAGTGAAATCGATGACCTAGACCAGGTATAATGTATCGTCAGTAAAATTGATGACCTAGACCAGGTATACTGTATCGTCAGTGAAATTGATGACCTAGACCAGGTATACTGTATCGTCAGTGAAATCCGTGACCTAGACCAGGTATACTGTATCGTCAGTGAAATCGATGACCTAGACCAGGTATACTGTATCGTCGGTGAAATTGATGACCTAGACCAGGTATAATGTATCGTCAGTGAAATTGATGACCTAGACCAGGTATACTGTATTGTCAGTGAAATTGATGACCTAGACCAGGTATAATGTATCATCAGTGAAAGTTATCATTTGAACCCTATTATTCTGTAATTGTATTAAATAATTTTGTTAGATGTGATCATTTTAGTTTACATGTTTAGTCAGGATCACACTCAATCACCTATTCTAACTAAAGAATAGGTAAGTCAGTCTACCTACATTATATATTAGGATCTTAATCAGTTATAAGTTTTATGATGTCATGTCGATTTAAAAATAAAAACAACCTTAAGTGATCCAAACACACTGTGTAAAATTTTGTTTTTAGTGGCTTCAGTACAGGTTGTTAAAGCACACCAAACCTCTCATTTGGTGTTTCCACAACCACGGGTCATCATGGAAACAACGTGGAGAACAATGGAAGATGCGGTATATATTCCTAGTTCAGTAATGAACCACTACTTAAGGTATTTTCAAGGTAAGTTTTTCTTTTACTTGTTTACAATTTATTGTATTACTTGATATAAATGATGTAGAGCAGGATTTTTCAAATGTATTGAAGAACTTCATATATGGATTGTCTGTTGGGGATTACAATCCTGAGGTTTCTTAAAATGTTCGCTGCATTAGTGACAAAAAAAAGAGGATGTTTTAGAGTTGAAAGTTGGGTAATAAAGAAACTAAATATGAAGTGGTATTGTGAAAAGTTGGATAAGATCAACTGTTGAATGTTGCTTCTTTCAAGACTGGAGTTGGACATGGCCTAAACCTTGAAAGGTCCAAGGTTTGAGATGATTTAAGTCACTAAATGCACTCTACTCTTTCAGCTTTGGAGGAGTTATAATGCTGACAATCAATATCTCTAGATTAGTTAAGAATAACTGTATAGGCAGTGACTGGTTACCTTCCCTCTGGTCATTAGGGTTAAATCAGGAATGGTTTTGGTGATTAGCTCATGTGTCACCTTAAGGTGTTTAAAAATAACAATAGCACTGGATGTAGAAAACTTTTCAAAATTTAAAAAAAATTCTTCACCCTTCCATCTTTATTTTTGGCCAGCTTTTTTAAAAAGAGGTACATTAGTACAGAACTTAGCCAAAGAATGTGTAGAAAAAATAATTTAATTAAATAAAGGGTTTGTACTATATTGTATTTAATCATCTTCATTTGAATGAATAATGAATTTGTTGTTTTCATCAAAACAACTATAATACAGTGAAGATGTTATAAATGTTGGTACCAAGATATTGTGTTGTCAGTTATGAAGAACTACAATTAATTATTCTACAAGTTGTGTGAAGTTGCAAGTATGCAAGCAGACATGTTGAATATAATATTTCCTCATCAAAATTTGACTGCAAGATATAAAATGTATGATCTAAAAGACTGGATATCATTTCATTATCTGAAGGTGACAACTATATTGTATTGTTTATTTCAACCTAGCATTTTATGGAATTATTGGAATGAAATGATGTAATCATTACTGAAAAGTGAAAACACAGTCTGATAAATCTATTTCTAAGTTTCTTTCAATATCGTTATACTGTCACGAATATTGTGTTTAAAGAGGAAAGTTTCAAACTTCAGTAAATAAATCTTGTTGAACTTTTAAATCATTTTGATTGCAGTTTAATTTTGTTGACATATTCATCTCATTCTGTGTAAAGAATTTTAAATTAAGTTCCTTTTGTTAACTTATTGTAGTACTCTGTTTTCGTTTTACTAACCTTTGATTGGAAACTTCAGGGTACATCCGGGTCGTCTTTATGGCTTACAACAACATGGAAAATATGCTTCAATCACAGTCTCTGTTGCTTCAATATAGCCTTTCTCAGGACCAGCCAGAAACAGTGAAACAGGTTGTAAACAGTCGTGTACTTTCTGTCTCCTTTGGAAACACACAGCCAACATGGCTTCCTGAGCCTGTCATCATAACGCTCTCGAGTTTAAGGAAAGAAAATGTTTCTGACCCTCGATGTGTTTTTTGGGACTTTGAAATCAGGTATCACTTGTTGTATTTTTCTATTATATTTCATTTTTTCACTACCACACTAACAGATAAACAACTCTCTACCATGTTTTAATATTTCATTACCTAACTGAACCTCAAATTGGTAATCTTTCGGAAGTTAAAAGGGGATTATCTTTTCTATGTGATGGTAAAATATTTCAACCTCCCTTGGCAGTGTTTTTGAAGGGCACATAACCCATGGCATTGAAAATTAAAGTTTAATCTCAGAATTACCAGTTAAATTTTCATAACAGTTTCTATAATAAATTGCTTGTGGGTTCGTGGCTTTGCTAGTTGGATTCCTGATAACATGCAAGTCACAAAAATGTAAGCAAAAATACCACAAATATTACAATTAATTACTGCTGAGGTACCTTGTGTATTTTACATATAAAATTAGTGATTCCACCCAACATTTAGTCAGCCCATTACACTGAATATCATAACGGCAAAAACGGCATACTTAATATATGGACTCTTCTAGTGGTGAAGGATGTACAATCCATTGTTTCATCACTACATACAAGCTGTGCTATTTTGGGTCCAAAGTTATGAAGAACCCTGTATTGTAAATTATACCATTTAAGCTGCTACAAATCATCTGTAGAAATGAACTTACTTAAAGCTAAGTTCAGAACTAGACCATAATTAATGTAAGTGTAATGTTATTATTAGTGCACAAATTATCCTTGTCAAATGCTCGTGCCAACAATTACAGTTGTAATGACAGTTTGATCGATTGCTTCTACATTTCATTTTACGTGGTCATGTTAAAACAGCCAAAAAAGTTTTGGAATTTGAAAAATTGGAATATATTCTCTATCACTGAAATACGTTTTCAAACTAAACCCACAAATGCTTCCATGTTGAAATGTGAACATTGAGAAACTTCTTTCATCACTTGTCAATGTATATTGACTCAAATTAACACTCATTTTACTTTTACAACATACAAGATCATAGCTATGGAGAACCATATCTTATAGTTAATTTGTAATATTATTTTGAAGACAACTCAAATATGAATGAATTAAAATTCAAGAATTTTATTTAAATATAGATATTTTTCTAAAAGCATGTATGAAAATAATAGATATAAATTAGTTATTAATTAATGTCAGTATCAATGTAGTTCAGTGAAAACTGTAACAAAGAACTCTATTTTTAAAAGAATGACTTCAGCTCCAGAAAATAAAAGAATAGTTAAACATCTTGTTTGAACTTAAATAACTTTTACTTATAAATCATTATTTAATAGTATTTCATACAATCTTTTTACTGAAAAACAAAATAGTTCAAAGTAGTTGTCATTTGGCAAAAACTAACCTTAGTTTGCTTTTATGAACAAAACTTAGACTACAGTCTTTATTTTTGTGCAGTGATTGGTCTAATCAAGGGTGCAGTGTTGTATCGTTCAACGTATCCCACACGGTGTGTTCCTGTAGCCACTTAACAAACTTTGCCGTTCTGATGACCATTAAACCTATTGAGGTTGGTATTTATGCATTTTGTATTATCAATTTATTTCTAACATAAAGTGGACAAATGCTTCAATATTTTTCCGAGGAAGTTGTGACTTTGATTATCTAATTAAATTTAAATATGCACTGAGTAATAACTTGTAAACGTTTTTCCCAATAGAACACAAGACCTATATTAAGCAATTAAATTTAGTTATAAAACTGGGGATTGTTTCTACCTTAGTTTACACAATTAGATTCATTTGTGGTGTTATGTTAATGTGGAATCATTTTTCCAGATGATTATATGATTTTGAATGAAAAAAATTAAATTTAGTTATGTTCCTGGTAAATTATGTAAAGATCCAGATGAATTTAAAAAGGAAAGTGTAAAGTTAGTTTACTCTTAAAATACACTTGTTGTGTGTGTGTGTTTGTGATTATTAATTCAAAAAGTCTGGCATGGTTAGTGGGATCGACCTGAAATTTGTGGGTTAGGGATGTGAATCCCAAAACCAAATATGCTCATCCTTTTAGCTGTGGGGTGTTATAAAGTGACAGTCAGTCCTACTTTTTTTTTAACCATCCAAAGCTCACAAGTTTTGGGCAGAATCAGCATGGATTATTATAGAAGTTTCACAACTGTACAGAACATTTTTAATCCAAATATTTAAAAAAAAATGTTTTATGCAAATTCTATGTACACAAACACCTCAGTGTTATTCAACAGACACAAGAAAACTACAAAAAAATAATTTTATATAAAAAAAAACTACATAAATCCTACAAATATGATAGTTGTTAAGGATATATATTTATTTCATTACAAGACTGAATCCATACATTTTAAAATAATGTGTGCTAACTTAATATTGGACTAAAACAAGATGATACAATGCAACACTTAGATCTGTTAAGATTGTTGTACAGTTCATTAAAGCTATTACAAAACAATGCAACACTTAGATCTGTTAAGATTGTTGTACAGTTCATTAAAGCTATTACAAAACAATGCAACACCTAGGTCTGTTAAGATTGTTGTACTGTTCATTAAAGTTGTTATAAAACAATGCAACATACAAAGAATTGTTTTTTATATGACGTTCAGGCTATAAATATAATGATCTATTAGTCATTTTGAGAGTTACCTAAAACACAGGAACGTGATGGTCGTAAGAAGAAGTGAAAGGATGGAAATAACACAGCCAACATAGGTAATCACCAACAAAGTTCTGTTGTACTTGATGGGAGACTGAAAGAAATTTGCAGAAACATTGTTGTACAGTTCATTAAAGCTATTACAAAACAATGCAACACCTAGGTCTGTTAAGATTGTTGTACAGTTCATTAAAGCTATTACAAATTAACAGACCTAGGTGTTACATTGCTTTGTAATAGCTTTAATGAACTGTACAACAATCTTAACAGACCTAGATGTTGCATTGTTTTGTAATAGCTTTAATGAACAACAGTCTTAACAGACCTAGGTGTTGCATTGTTTTGTAATAGCTTTAATGAACTGTACAACAATCTTAACAAACCTAGGTGTTACATTGCTTTGTAATAGCTTTAATGAACTGTACAACAATCTTAACAGACCTAGATGTTGCATTTGAGTTCCTGAAATAATAAGATTTTTGCTTCCTTCAACATTCTCATGGTATTCAAATTCTATGACAAGGAACCCATTTTGAGACTAATAATGCTTGGAGACGGCTTGAATGGGTAATGAAGAAAAACTTTAATATAAGTTTAACATAACAGCAAATGTACAACGTTTTGACAAGGTTTTGGTTCGTGATGATGTATATTTGCTCTTATGTTAAACTTATATTAAAGTTTTTCTTCATTACCCATTCAAGCCGTCTCCAAGCATTATTATTCTCATGGTATAGACAATTCAAAATTCATTCTTTAGTGATTCAGGTTTCAAGAGAAAACATTGCAAATAAAATATATTTGATTGAAAGAAGAAATTAAAAATTACTATCAGTATATATAAACAAATTAGAAACCTCTCTGTAGTCATATGTTCCAGTCACAAATGCCCACTCTGTTATCCTCAAATGAACGACATAACTCTCATTATAGTTATTTTTTAAAGAAAGTATTTAAGTAAAATTCTTAGTATGGAGCACCTTTTATTATTGCTTACTTTTATCTGTGATATAAACACTATAAAATAATCATAGCACAGCTAAGCCTGATCATTATTATTTATTTATCTAAAATACTATATTCTTCTGTGGTTCAGGACCCTGCAGAATGACCGAACAACAATCCACAAGAACTTGTGTCTGTGTCTTCTGGTGGCTGAAGTCCTGTTTATTGCTGGGATCAATCAGACGGCCATACGAATTGTGTGCGGCATTGTGGCAGGACTTTTGCATTATTTCTTCCTTGCCGCTTTTGTGTGGATGTTTTTAGAAGGATTCCATCTGTACATAATGCTTGTTGAAGTGTTAGAATCAGAACAGTCCCGAGTAAAATGGTTTTATCTTTTTGGCTACGGAGTGCCCGCTGTTGTTGTCCTTATTTCAGCAGCAGTAGATTCTAACAGCTATGGAACTGATCAGTACTGTTGGTTGAAAGCCGACAACTACTTTGTTTTCAGCTTTATAGGGCCTGTTATTGCAATTTTGTTGGTACGTTTTTGTTTTGTGTTAAAGATACTTTGTTTGTAAGTTGTTCCTTACTTATATTATGAAAGCCAGCACTTATTAACTCATTTTAATGTATTCTAAAACATTTACTGTCAGTGATAAAAACAATTCTAAAACAATGATTTATTTCAGAGAATATAACATCAACATTGGAACAATGATGACATTTCAATTTTAAACAAAACCTAATGTTTTTTTCCCCTAATTTGATCTTTGTGGACAAGCCAAATTTTAGGACAATGCTGCATAACATTCACTTACAGAAAACAAAAAAACTATACAGTAATGAAAAAAATCCTGCACACACACACAGAGGTATCTATTTTTTGGCAGAAATCTGCTTTTTCAGTCATTAAAATTGTCAAAGCTGAGATTCATGTAAAGGGCTTTAGAACATTTGAGCATCTAATTGCCCCTTTGTTGCAGACATTGATTGACAGCAATGACACAGTAATGAGTGGTAGTACATTCCAAACCTCGAATATTTTATGGTATGTGAAATTCAACAGTAAACATAAAGACAGACCAGCACACACACACACACCCAAGCATGTTTTCTTAAGCCTTGCATAACTGCTTGTCTCCCTTTAGAAAATATGCATATTACAGTTTTGCTCATGGGAAAATATAGTCAGTGAACAAGTGATTAATGGGGGCTTGTTGGGGCATCACTAGTGTCTAATAATGTATTCAATTTAATTCAAGTAGCCCTTCACAATAGTGTACACTAAATATTTGCACTATTTTTACTGTCAAACCAATTTTGGATAGTCCCCTATCATGTTCTTTAGTTACGTGCAGGAGATAGGTTTTGTAATTTTGACAATAAAGTTAATTATGATGAAAAACGTTTTATTTCAGCTATCATACAGTTTCATTAGGGCTAGTATTTCTACTAAGTCTTGTATTAATTGTTTCCCAAATGCTAATCTTTCTAACAAGTCGAATCGTATATGACTAAAAAGTTACATTTTAGTGCAATTGTCAGTCATAGTTGTAAGTACTCCATTAGATTGATCTTTTGTAGGAAATGAATCATCCATAACATCGATTTTACAACTCATTTTTGAGGATTTAAGAATGTTCAACAATATAGTTCCCAAGAATCCCAGAATGAAATGTTATGTTTGAGTCAAGTTGTATTTGATTAACAAGGAATTATTTGTCTCTCTTACAGGCCAATATGGTGTTTTTGAGCATAGCAGTGTACATCATATGTCGTCATGGGAACCTGATGCCAAACTTGAAGACAAAGGAACAGGCTAAACTATGGTGAGGTTGCTTGTGATTTTATAAATTCAAATAGATCTTATCAAAAATCAGACAATTCATCAAATAATTATAATTGTCCACATTACCCTAATTCTAGAAAAATATTGAGGATTAAAAAGATATAATCTTTGGCAAAAATATGGGTTGAAGTCTTTTTTTTTTTTCTTATCATTTTCTTTCGATAACAGCATTTTTTACATTTATTTCAGTTTGCTATTTTACCCACTGATATTACTGATTTCTAGTTTTCCTTTATAAAAATATAAGAATATATTTTAGAGCAATAGTTTCTAAACTGTTTGCACCTCAAGTCCAATTGAGTTAGTTAGTTATCTGGTACAGTAGTAAAGGTTTTCGTACGTAGTTAATGACTAATTAACACCTTCACCAGTTCTACTCAACAGTCAAGCTAAAGTTTGTGTATTCATATTGTAATACAGTGAAACAAATACAATAACTTGACTGCTTTAGCCTCAAGTTTAAGTCAGTCACAGTTGTCTTGGCCTGTGGCAACTTTTAACTACACATTTCTTGGACCACCAGTTCAGAATAATTGCCATACAGTATCTTAAGAACAGTGAAATAAAATGCACAGTGTTTCGTAGCTTGTTCTATAAAAAGTTTTAGGCTGCAGCTATCTTCAAAATCAGGTTTTTTGTTTATTTTTATAACAAGCTTTTGACCACCTAAACTGTTCAAACTACTGGTGAAGAGAAACTATATAGATGTATATATTATATTGTCTCGTAATTTAGTTAATCCATGCTATCGGTTTGAAGAGTATTATAACACACCATATTATTTAGGCATAATGTTCTTGTTCAAGATGTTTCTTGTGCACATTTTGATAGATTGTAGATCTGCTCCTAGTTACTGTAGTAAAACTGCTCTTACATTCTAAATATGTATGTTCAAATGACCTTTTGTCTCAGATATAAGTCAGAGATGTTTTGTACCTTTATGAAAGGGATACTGTATAGTTGCTTTGGATTCAAATTACCAGTCTTTCTCAAAAAAGATCCTTGCAATGCATCTTCTTGTTGTTTCAAGGGTATTTTAGGCAGTACAGACATGGTAGAGTCTTGATTTTAATAGAGTTATCCTGTCAGTTTTTAAAGTGGGCAATGTTTTGACTGCAAAAATGAGACCTTGATAATGCCTCAATATAGAACCTGAAATATTGTCTCTCTCTAGAAATAGTCGGGAGCACTCCTCCTTCTTGATAATAAGAACCTTGGGGAACAAAGTATAGTTTTATCTGAACTCCAAGGCAGTGATCAGTCTTAGATATGTATGCAAGATTTCTGTTTAATTACTTTGCACATTCACATTTAACCCTTTTGTTTCTATTATGTGCCTATCTCAGTAATGCGGATGACCCATCTCATCGTAAGCTTCTGATCACGTAAGCGTGGTTTAATTCTAAGCATGTGTAATGTGTCGTAATGCAGTTCAGTCAAGTACGAGTTTTTTGCTTTCTTCATTTAAATGTATGGTTATCTTTTCATTTTGTTTTGTGGTAAAGTAAAATAAGAAGTTGAAATTTGCATGGTTTCTAGTGTCTCACTTCACATATTAAAGTTTAGATTAGTGTTTAACCTTGTATTACCCTCTTTCATATATGATTCTCATGGTTCAAAGACTACTTCACTGTTAGTTTTGTCATTGTATTTTACGTATTTGTAAGGTAGCTCAAGTCCACTGATTAAAGGTTAAAGGACATGTTGTATTTGGATGCTCATAAAATTTTGAAACAAATTTTTGAAAACTATCATTATTTTTAGGGTGTGGATTCGGGGAGCGTTGGTATTTGTGGTGTTGCTAGGCCTAACCTGGGCATTTGGTTTGCTCTACCTAAATGAAGAATCAGTCATCATAGCGTATGTTTTTACTGTACTGAACAGTCTTCAAGGCCTCTTCATCTTCTTCTTCCACTGTGTCCGGAATGAAAAGGTAAGTTTCAGTCTTCCATTGTTCATTGGCTTCATATCTAATTGATTTTACAATTGATAGAAAGGTTATTGAGACTATAGTATCAGTAGTAAAGAGCATGAGGAAGGATTGGATTCCATTTCTTGCTGTTGTATGGAGGAGCTACATGGGAAAACTTAGTACTGTAGTTTTATTAAAGGATATGTATTAAATTTTAAATCAGCAACTTTTTAGGCTTATCCTGTTCACAACTATTGCACTAGACAGAATAAACATGATCAGCAGTTGCAAAAAGTTCTTATCTGAACCATATAACTGTGACACTTTCACATTTATATCCTGTTATGTTATAATCATTTTATGTTCCTCAAAAATCAAAATTAATTTTTCCATTATTAGGCCTTATTGTCATCATTACAACTCAATAAAGCTAATGTCTGTGGCTATAGCACCCAAACGTGTTGAAAGTATTCCATCTATTTAGACAAAATCCAGATGCTGATGTCAAACTAACCAGCAACTAAGGAAAATTAGTTAAAGTTTAGGAGTTGAGTGCTTGAAACACAACAACTCAACTCCTATTACTGTTCACTATCTGCAGCCAGTTGTGGGAAGGCGTTACCCTTAATATTTAGATACAACATTAAAGTAGAAATAATCCACCCTAAATCTGTACAATGTAAAACTCCCAACCTCCATTCTTTTGAGATGTACAAAAACACACAAATATTCTCATAGTAGAAATAAACCATCCTTTATTGCTACAAGACTCCCAACCTCCACCCCTTTTATTCAATAATTACAAAATGATGTTAAACAGAACTAAAACCCCTTACCTTAATATATTTAGTTCCCCATCCTCCTCCCTTTCTCTTGAAAATTTGTTCAAGTATAAACTACGTAAGCTGAGACAAACCCATCTACCTGAAGTTGGTCTTCCCACCTCGGTATACTTATCAAAATAACTAAATATTTTGTAATTAGTTGCTTATAGCCAAGTTACTCAAGGTTATTCCTTGACTTATAGACAGATGAAATATCCCCAACACATTTGGGTGTTATGGTCACAAACATTAATTCGCTATGAATTTTAATGATGACAACAAGTTTTGGTAATGGAAAAATTAATTTTGATTTTTGAGTCTCTTTATAATGTTTTTGATTTATATTAATTTTATCATCATTGTTTTATAATGCTGTTTAAAAAGTCGCCTAGTTACAATTAATGTATTTGATAGCTATAGAACTATTGATTTAGTTATATATATTTAGCAAAACAAAATGTGTGCTGCAAATCTATATTTTCGCTATCACTTTATACCATTTCTAATGTATGTGGAAAAGCTGTAATGCATGTCTTCACTGTTTCTTTTTGTTTCAGGTTCAGAAAGAGTTCCAAAAACTTATCCACCAATCACAGTGGCTTTCCAAATGTCTTTGTAAAGAAGACTCAAGGGAACAACATTCCAGTGTGGTCACCTCATCCAACACCCAGCCAGTCTGTCCTCACAGTGTAAGATTTAGTTTTTTTTAGAGAAATAGACATTACTTCCATCAGAATCATATAACTAACCAGGCTGGGAGTGGCCTAGTGTTTAGCATGCCAAGCTGTAGATCAAGAGGTCTAGGGTTCAACATCTGATACCAATGAACAAGCTCAGCACTTTCAACTATGGGTACATTTTAAAAATAACAGTCATTCTTATCATTTGGTTCAGAGAGCCAGACAAAACTCTTGTAGCTGCAAGTAATCCCAAGATTTGATTCAGACAGCTGGACAAAACCGTTGTAACAACAATTGATTGCTGATTGCCTACCTTACCTTTGATTAGTTGTTCAAAATTAGGGATGGTTATACTCGAAACCGTAGAAGTATTTGATCTGCCATTTATCAAAATGATGTGTAAGATGCTGTTAAAGCTAAAAATTCTAACAACTAATTAAGTAAAAGTAAAAATATACCTGTATATAAATATTCTAGAGATTAGCAGCTACAGAAGTCTAAAAATTCTCAGTTGAGAAGCACATTTGCTCTTTGGACAGTTAGTGAAGTAATAAAGATTTGGATCTTTGACAGTATGTGATCGTCTCTCATCTTACTCATCTTTGGTTGCTGTATTGTCGTTTTTCTGTTTATATATCTGCATTCTATGCTAATAACTCCAATATAATGAAGTAAGCCTAACTCTGCTGAACTGACAAGCAGGTTGTTTTCATGTGGTGATAACTTCAATGTAATGAAGTAAGCCTAACTCTGCAGAACTGAAAGCAGGTTGTTTTCATGTGGTAATAACTCCAATGTAATGAAGTAAGCCTAACTCTGCTGAACTGACAAGCAGGTTGTTTTCATGCGGTGATAACCCCAATGTAATGAAGTAAGCCTAACTCTGCTGAGCTGGCAAGCAGGCTTACTTCATTACATTGGAGTTATTACCACATGAAAACAACAGCAGAGTTAGGAAACTGACAAGCAGGTTGTTTTCATGCGGTGATAACTCCAATGTAATGAAGTAAGCCTAACTCTGCAGAACTGACAAGCAGGTTGTTTTCATGTAGTAATAACCCCAATATAATGAAGTAAGCCTAACTCTGCTGAACTATGGTCTGTTATCTTTATTGGGAAGCTGGAAATACTTGAGGTATCTTTGAAAACTGTGAGCAATCAGAACCGTTTTAAAATCTTAAGTTTTATGATGAATTGTTACCGTCATTTAATTACATTAAAAAGAAATGTTAGACAGATACTGTAAATCCCCACATAACATATTAACAACTTATGAAAAAAGTATATATTAAACAGCATATATATATATATATAATCCATAGCATTATTTACTATACAGATGTTAAGACCATAAGTAATGTTTTAAATTGTTTTATTATATTTTCAGTCTTGGGTTACAACTCTGGGACATGATAAGCCTTTGATTACTTCATCACTGATCAACAGAACACAAGGTAAGTGTTCTTATTTGTATTTTTGTCCTTTTTTAATTATTCAATACTCTATTAACTTCTGTTGATTTTCTTGGAAATTAATTCTTTAGTCACATTACCAATAAAAAAATAATTTTAAACATCACAATATACTTCAAATTTATCTCCCCATTCCCATTAACAAAATTAATAAATAGGTATTACTACAAATAATTATGGTGCAAATTAAGAACTATTGATTATTCAAATTGGTGGGGTTTTGTTAGTGGTGTGTAAAGTTTTATCATAGTTGTCTAAATAGGTAGATGAGGCTGTGTTAGTGTTGAGTAACATTTTAATTGGCTGGGTAGTGTTTCTTTTTAACTGGTGAGTAACTTGTATCTCCAACTTGCAGATACTGAAACATCCAGAAGAATGAACCAAGTCAGAAGACCATCACAGAATAGCAATGGGAAGTATAGACAGGGGAATAGTCTGGGAATGGGTGCAATAGATGAAGTCCTGACAGAGCAAGGTGGAAGATGGACAGTCAGTAAATCTCACAGACCTATAGCTGCAGGAAGTGTGCTTGAGAACCCCATGAAGACATATGATCTTCATCAATTATATAATCATCAGGGTAACATAAGTTTATTGGATCGACGACTGAATCCTTTAATGGATCACATCTATGAGACAATTGACAGTGACCAAGACTCTTTATCATCACATAAGTGGTATCCACCATCAGTGTATCGACATCATATGTCACCTGATGGGCAGGTCAAGTATAATTACAGTCCTAGTCACCAATCAACTTCCAGCTTTGTCTGTGATCAACGTCCACTAATTCCCAATAATTTAGCAGATCCAAAAATACCCGTAACCTTAGGTCACATACCAGGTAGGCCTCATCGTTCCACTCCTCGGAGCTATTCAGGGCAGGTAAGTTACCCAAGACAGAGTCCCACGGACTCGGACAATTCATCCAGCAGCTCTTTAGACAGGAAAGGAAACAGTTCTTCGTCTACTGTACCTGTTCGTTCCACCACTCCCAGCAGTGAGTTCAGCGATGGTCAACCGGCTAGTGTTGCAGACACAGGTATTCGCCAGCAGCACTAGTTTCATAGCTATCTTCCCAGGATGAGGTTTTAACAGCAGCCTCCCAAAAATACCCCAATTTCAATAACTTACCAATGGACTTTAACAGATTCCATGGGATCAGTGCTGCAAACTATGACTGTTACCATGGTGATAACTTCGTGGCAATAGACAAAATCAGGAACCCCTGTGACTTCGCATTGTCAGATGATTACTCAAAGGATGATGGGAATGATAATGCTGTTACAGTGGACCTTAGCAAACTGCAATGACAGTTTCATTTCAAATGACCGGAACCAATATCCAAGTAATAACTCTGTAGCAGTGACTGGGAGGGTGAACAAGTGATGTTTAGACTTCAGTCTAAAGCCTTGGGATACTCTAATGGGGATTCAAGAAACAATGACACTTTAAAGTAACTTTTGGTTGACCAAGTGTAGCTTCTTGCTGTATCTATAGCCTTTGTAAGACAAGAAAAAAAACGCCTTTCACTGTCGCTAAAGAGGAAAACTCTACTTAAAATAAGTTGCCTTGTCTTTACATCAGGTTTAGTTATTTTCTGTGTCTTATTGTGATGGCGTCCAGAATTCTCCAAAAAGTGTGTCTTCATATTATTCAGGTAAACGCAGTCGCTAAAGCAACATCCTCCAGGTGGTAACACTTCCACTTGCGTTTAAAGTGGCGACCCCCCCTTATTTAAAAAAAAAAGAAGTCATGTGAAACATTCCAGAAGAACTTCCCCAAAAATCTGACTTGCGCTAACAGAGAACCTCTTTTCTGTGATGTTAAAAGTTGTGTATATTCATGAACGTTGTAAAAATAATGATAAGAATTAGATATTGTAAAATAAATTATCGAGAGAAAGTGATAAAATGTTCAATAGATGGCGCCAAGAAGAGTAATACTATAAATAAAGGACAACGCTCGTCATCTTTCAATGGTAAGAAACAACATTCCTTGTCCAAGTTTAACGCTTCAAACATAACATAAACGGTTACCAAAGTATTGAAGAGACTGTTAAAGATATATTTTATGTCAGCTTTTTAACTCATGATCTTAATTTGTCGAATATTCACGGGAAAATAGTAAAGTAACTACTACTATTACTACTATTATTTTTAGTGTGCTCCTTTGATTGTATTTTACAAACGTATGGAATTGAATTAATTCTTTTTTGCATACCTCGACTTTAAAGGTTTATCGCCAGCCACAGTATCTTTTTTCTTCTACAGTCCCTCACCAAAGTTTCCTATTTATTTTCCTCCAGTTGAAATTAATTCATTGTAGAACAATTCATATCCTTGTGTAGAACTGTGGTAGCCAAATAAAATAAAGAGTTTGCAGAAAAACGACTGAGAAAAATGATTTTTTAAGACTAGCCAAATTAGTAAGTACTGTACTATTTCCGAGAGATGGTGTTCATGAGGAGGACAGGTTTTGAACCGAATGCAGTTCTGCACTGTTTGTAAATAATGTTTTGCAGACAAAAAAAAAAAAAGAAAAGAAAAAGAATAACCCTGTTTCAAAACGAAGGCAACAGGTTTAGACGTAATTTGTACGATGAGGTCGCTTTTCGTAAAGTATTGTGAGCGCCGCAAAGTGGTGAAATGTTGCACTACGTAAAAATTAATTATCAAGTAAACCAAAATATTTTCAACTTTCAGCTGAATGTACTGTGTGAACCGAGAAATGTTCAGATACAATAGAAACATGAAGGAAACGCTTTATGAAATTATGGGCTGTAAAAATGTGCAATAATGTTTTAAATGTTTTGCAAAAGATATATTTCTTGTGGTCACGAATAAAGAAAGCTCAATTTCTATCCTTTCTTTTGTTGAATTTTCATCATTTGAGAGATTATTTTGATAATATAAAAATAATTTCACATTCTTAAAAGATAACGCCTACATTTAGATAAGTTTTTCAAAGAAATAAAATCCACTTTATTTCTAATTGTTTATATCTTTCAATATTAAATTCGAGCTACAAGCAAAGAATGATCAAAAGGTGATCATTTATTATCACGACGTATCAAATATTCCATTTCAGAGAAATAGATGGTAATTGGGTTGATTTTATCTTTTGATCACCATCTTGTAGCCCCCAGTGGTATGTCTGCGGAATTACAACGCTAAAAACCGGGTTTCGATGCCCGTGGTGGGCAGAGCACAGATAGCCCCTTGTGTATCTTTGTGATTAATTCCAAACAAACAAACAAGCATCTTGTAGCCCCCAGTGGTATGTCTGCGGAATTACAACGCTAAAAACCGGGTTTCGATGCCCGTGGTGGGCAGAGTACAGATAGCCCATTGTGTATCTTTGTGCTTAATTCCAAACAAACAAACAAACAAGCATCTTGAATATATAGCTAACCATGGTGTCTGTCCTAGCGTTCGTCTGTCTCGCATTTGAAAAGCTGCGCACGCAGGCAAAGTTTAACACCCACTTTTGAAACGACGGGAGTACACACATAAATAATGTTGATGCCAAATTATATTTTACAAGCAGGATATTCTACACTAAATTGTTAGGAATTAATCACACTATAATTCACACTTCAAAATGTGACGTAACTTAAAAAATAAAAATGTAGATTTACCGTATGTTATTGTTGA